AGTTGAATGGCCAGGTAGCTGTTTTCCCAATTTCCTGGCATAGACCAGTTATCACTTCCAATGTTGTGTCCATTTGTTGAACATCTCAATTGGCATTCCATCAATCCCTGAAGACTTATTTTTCACCAACTTCTTCAGTGTAGCTTGAACTGCCTCCTTCAGTACTATTGGTTCCTGAAGTGGTTGAACAATTCTTTTTAGTACAGTGATTCTGTGTATTCCTTCCATTTACTTTGATTCTTCCTGCATCTTTATTTTGTCTGTTGTTGTTGTTGTTGTTGTTGTTATGTGCCGTCGAGTCGGCCCCGACTCATAGCGACCCCTCCTTGAGTTTCCGAGGGTAGAAACCTTTAATATTCTATCTTGAGGCTTGAGTTTTTATCTTCAGTCCCTTCAGCTTGAAAAATGCTGAATTTGTTCTTCCCTTTTGGTTTTCTAATACTTTACTTTGTCTTCTCAAGCAGCCCTTTGAAATCTTCTGATCAGCTCTTTTACTTCATCATTTCTTCTATTTGCTTGAACTACTCTACATTCAATAGCAAGTTTCAGAGTTTGTTCTGACATCCATTTTTGTCCTTTCTTTCTGCCTTGTCTTTTTAATTACCTTTTGCTTTCTTCATGTATGATGTCCTGATGTCATCCCACAACTTATCTGGTCTTCTATCATTGGTGTTAAATGCATCAAATCTATTCTCCAGATGATCTCTAAATTCAAGTGGGTTATACTTGAGGTTGTACTTTGTCTCTCATGCTCTTGTTGTAATTTTCTGCAGTTTCAATTTTACCTTGTAGATAAACAATGGAAAGTCTGTTCCAGAGTCCACCCCTGGCCTTATTTTGACTGACGATATTGAGTGTTTCCATTTTTTTCCCACAGATGTAGTCAATTTGCTTCCTGTGTATTCTATACTATGAGGCCCATGTATATAGCCATCATTTATGTGGTTGAAAAAAGGTATTTGTAATAATTAAGTCATTGATCTTGCAAAATTCTATTATGTGATCTCTGGTATCATTTATATCACCAAGGCCATATTTGCCAATTGCTGATTTTATTTCTTTATTTCCAACTTTTCCATTCCAATCACCAGAAACTATCAATATGTCTTGATTGTATGTTTTATCAATTTTTATTCAGACTGCAGAAGCTGGTAAACTCTTCACTTTCTTCATCTTTGGCATTAGGAGTTAGTATGTAAATTTGAATAATAGTCATATTAATCCATCTTCCTTGTAAGTGTATTGATTATTTCAGATACCTAGTGCTGTTCTGACAAGAATATACCACTGATGGGATGGCCTTAACCAACAGGAGTTTATTTTTACAATTTGGAGCCTTTAAGTCTGAGTTCAAAGTGCCATGTTTTAGTGGCTGAGTGAAAGCCCCACAACCTTGGGCTTCAGCTCTGCCTCCTGCTCCCAGCCCTCTGAACCTGGAGGGTTTTCTTCACTCAGCTGCTGGCTGCTGAAGCTGACAAGCCCAAGGTTGACAAGTAATAATGAACAGTCCTGATATTACCAAACCACATGGCAGGCCATTAAATTCAAGTTCATTAAAAGTCCCAAGATGGCAGAGAATGGCAGGCCGCTACATGAAGACTCAGCTACATGCAGGGTTCAAGTGTGCCATAAGCTAGAGACCATTCCCCAAGCTTTCTCCTTATATACAGGAAGCAGACCACATCCCAAAGGCAGCTACTCAGCTGCTTGTGGTAGATTCCACCATGGAGATGATTACCAGTCTCATCAGGGGGAATACTACACCCAGCTGCCCAGCCACTCAACCAGGCCCAGACAAGTTGACACACAAACTTAACTACCACAATGATATTATAGCAGCACTGACAGCATTGTACTTCAGGGTAAATCATGAAATATTCTTTTTGATGATGAATACCACACCATTCCTCTTCAATTTGTCATTCTCAGCCCAGTATATCATATGATTATCTGATTTAAAATGGCCAATACCAGCCTATTTTAGCTCACTAATGCCTAGGATATTGATCTTTATAAGCTCCATTTTTGAGACTTCCAATTTTCCTAGATTCATACTTTGTACACTCTACATTCCAATTATTAATGGATGTTTGTAGGTGGTTCTTATCATTTTAAGTTGTGTCACATCAGCAAATGAGGGTCCTGGAAACTCTACTCCATCCACGTTATTAAAGTTGACTCTATTGAGGAAGAAGCTCTTCTCTAGTTGTGTTTTGGGTGCCTTCCAACATGAAGGGCTTATCTTCCAGCACCATATCAGGCATTGTTCCACTGCTATTTGTAAGGCTTTCAGTGGCCTGTTTCTTTTTTCAGAAATAGACTGCCACAGCCCTCCTGCTAAACTATCTTAGTCTGGAAACTCTCCTGAAACCTTGCCACCTTGGGTGACCCTGTTGGATTTGAAATACCAATCACATAGCTTCCAGCATCACAGCAACACACAAGCCACCACACAGCCATTGTTGCTTTAGCCTTTTGTTTTTGAAAGGATACCTATCATCAGTGTTAACTGACAATCTAGCCATATTTCTTCCTGGCTCCCTCATTCAATCTCCCCTTTGGCCCACTAAGGGTTCAAAAATCTCTTGGATTATTACTGAACCTTTACTGGTCGTGTTGCATTATTATGCATCAAAAGATCAAATTACCTCAGTGGTTTGTGACATGTCCTCCAGTATTTTAGTAAAATGATGAAAAATTTAAAAAGCTAGAAAATTTAAAAAAAAAAAAAAGCAAGGAACAGATGATAGCAGTGGTGTAGTTTGCACAGAGGCACTTTTTAGCTCATACTGAAAAGCAAAACACAGATCAGGAAAAAAAATCTTATTTTGAAGATATAATCAGTAAGTAATTCTGAGTTCCTAAGTTTTGGGCTAGCTCCAGTTAGCACAACAAATAAATAGAGTTCTCTATCATCCCTGTCCTTGTCTTTTTATTTAAATATTTATGATTTATCAAGCCCAGAGAGCTCTCAATGATTCTTAAAGAATCTGGCACTCTGGGAAGGCGCTTTCTGGAGAAGAGCAGAATTACCAGAGATAGGATCACCCTTAACAAGAAGATGTTCGGTACCTGATAAGGCAGATACTGACTTTCTACCTAGAATTGAATTTCTCTGTCTCATCTTATTACTTAAACTAGGGGAAAAAAAATAATTTTAAGTTGCTATTGTAGTCATTTGAAACCAAGTCTGACATTTTTTCAGAGAGACAGAAGAAAAAAGGAAAGAAGGTAAAAATGAGAGAAGGTGAGGGAGGAAGGTAGGAAGGAGGAAAGAAGCACAGATCTAATTAATCAATCTAACCTAAACATTATCAATTTTCATTTAAATTTGACAAGTCACTTTTAGAAATAGAAAGTTTCAAAAGTTTTGTAAATTATATGATCCTAATTCAATAAATACAGGAGCATCAAAAAATGGAGCACAGTCAGTTCATTTTAGTTGAACAAGTATTTACTGTATACCTACTGTATGTGCTTAGTACAGTGCTACATCATCAAACCAAACTCACTGCCATTGAGTCAGTTGGAACTCCTCCTTGGGTTTCTGAGGCAGTATCTCTACGGAAGTAAATTGCCTCATCTTCCTTCCAAGGATTGGCTGGTGGGTTTGAACCGCCAGCCTTCTGGTTACATCATTAGGGACACAAATATAAATAAGGAAGATATGTTCTTAAAGTGCTCACATATTTGAATAAAGGCATACATTTTTCATAGAAGTTGAAACAAACACAATAATAAACAAGGACATCAGGCCTATGTCCAAAATCATCCTCTAGGGAAAACGAAAAGTACTTTAGAAAGTTTAAACTTGTAAGAGGTCTCTTGTGTAGAGACTCTTCTAAAGTGGTTAGAAGCATGAAGATTATCTTTTTTAATCCAGGACTACTTTGTTGTTGTTGTTGTTGTGGTTGTTGTTGTTGTTGTTAGGTGCCCTCAAGTCGGACCCGACTCATAGCGACCCCTCCTTGGGTTTCCGAAGCTGTATCACTACAGAAGTAGATTACCCAACCTCACTTCCGAGGAGTGGCTGGTGGATTTGAACCGCCAGCCTTCTGGTTAGCAGTCAAGTGTCTTAAGCACTGTGCTACCAGAGCTCCTATAGACTACTTTACAAATAATATTTTAATATGAAAATGTTTTAAAGATGTGTAATTAAAAATATTTGAAGTATAAATTGCATGACATCTGCATAGTACAAAAGAACAAAAATGTGCCTTATCATGTATACAATGCTTTGTGATTTAGGTTGTAAGTGTTAGAAGGAAATAATTTCATTAAAAATGAAAGCCTAAATGTCAAATGCATCATGTTTCCTGTTCAGACTACAGTGGAGCTTGCAGGGAGAAAAAGCAGGAATAGAAGCAAATTCAAGGATGGCCACAAGAGGGCCACAGGAGAGGGATATACAAATCTTTACCACACATCAAACTGAAAAAATGCCAAAGCTGTCTTTTCTGGCTAGCTAAAAGGAATTTCTGGTAGTCAGAAGGTGCAATTCTTCAAATTAGAATACAAAGGAAAATGAGCACACTGACTGCTGTTCCATAGATGTTCCTCTTCCTGAAATTTACTGTACACAAGTCTGAAGTTTTCTCCTTCCTTCTAGGACATCAAAAGGTCAGTTTGTGCAAAAAATATATTACCTCCTTGAAGGACAGTGTCATGGTGTTGTCCACTTTAGTGGTACTGGGCCAACTTCAGGCCCCTCACAAATATGCTGGGTGATATTTACATTTAGCAAGAATCTGAATACAGTGTCAAAACTCCTCCTTCGTCTCCTGGGTTTGTGATAGGCTTAGGAGTGGGGACAGGTCAGCGAAAATATACATGTTCTTAGTGAGACTTGGAAGTGTTCAAGGGGATAAATTAGCTGAAGATACCCTGGCCATCATTACTCACCAAAGCCAAAGCACAAATGTCTCTATTCATTGTTTTCCAGAGAAAACACAAAGTTCTAGAAAATAGAAACTACACTGCATTTAATCCAAGATACCCACCTGTTTCTATCACTGGGCACAACTCCCCAGAGGTCCAAGCCATCCCTTGTTAAGGTGCCTGTCTAAACAGAAACAAACATTACTCTGAAGATCCTGCAGCACCAGAGTGAAGACAAATAAGGAATGCTTTAATGGGAAAATACGCGTCGCCTATATTGTCAAGATCAGTACTTCAAGGAAGAGTACAATAAGGTGGATATTTGGAGTCCTGGGCCAAAGCTGAGACAGGCTCATATTGGCACCTAACTCCTTTGAAACTCAGCATCCTCAGTGGTAAGGGAAGAAAATAGTAGCTACCTTACGTACTTCATCGGGTTGTTTTGAGGATCTAAATTCCTTGGTAAGCCCATAAGATGGCTATGTGTCAGCTTTTAGAACACAGGTTAAAAGCATGCAATTGGAAATAAGTAATGGGAGTAGAATTTTAACCTCTAGGGCACAGTTCTTGGAAATAGTCTAAAGAAATGTTTTGCCATTTGACATCTCTTTGGGAAAAACATGTTTGTTCACATTTATGTGTCAGTGTACTATAATGGTTAAGAGCTTGAGTCTAGAGGTATGACTAGGTTCAAACACCTGCTGGGTAACCTGGGCAAATTACTTAATCCTTCTAAATGTCAGAGGCCTTATTTGCAATGTGGTCATAAATGCATAGAGTTGTGAAGATAAAATAAGAATAATATCAGGAAAGGGCCTGTCATATAGTAAAAGCTAATAATAATGAACACTCATAGTTATTACTCATTTTTAATTCAAATTCATGTGTCAGTGGTGACAAATGTGAGAATGGAACACACATACCTTGTCAAAGCAGATAAGGTTTAATTGTCCACATACATTAATCCTCTGGGGACTAATGCAGAAGATGCCTCTCTTCTGCAGCCTCCTCTGGGCATAGATAATGCCTGTGGTCAGAGCAGCAGGTAGAGCAGGAGGAACAGCAATTGTGATGACATCAAGGGCTTTCTTCACCACCTCCTCAGGCGGTTCCTGGAAGATGAAATCATTCTTTAGCTATTACAGATAAATCAATAATGCACAGTTTTGTGCATATGACTTTGTTCCTTCCTTTTTGTTTATTCCTTTAGGTTAAATTCCTAGAAATACCATCAGTGAGTCAAAGGCTACTAATACATTTATGGCTCTCAGTATATTTCATCAAAGTGCAATGAATAGGGTTGTAATAATTCATGCTGCTACCACTAGCAGTGAGCAGGTTACCCTTTCCCCATACCTTGCCTATATTGCCATTGAGTCGATGCGGACTCATAGCTACCCCTCCTTGGGTTTCTGAGGTGGTATCATATCACTATGGAAATAGATTGCCCAACCTTCCTTCTGAGGAGTGGCTGGTGGGTTTGAATAGCCAGCCTTCTGGTTAGCAGTCAAGTGCCTTAGGCACTACGCCACCAGAGCTCCTAGAAAGATTATCTCTCACTGCTGTCCAGTTGGATCTGACTCATAGCAACCCCTCCTGGGGTTTACCAAGCAGTATCTCTACAGAAGTAGATTGCCCAGTCTTCCTTCCAGGGAGTGGCTGGTGGGTTTGAACCACCAGCCTTCTGGTTAGCAGTCAAATGCCTTTAGGCACTATGCCAGATTGCTTATTTTGGGAAATGGGAGTATATAAGCATGTTTCAGTGTTTGGCTTTGTTTCTCTAGTTTGTAAACCATGCCCTAATATCAGGTCAACATGTAGAGTAAATAATATATATTGATGAACACATGTATGCATGTATTAAAAGAACAAAGCCAGCTTACCCCACTGAGCACATAGACACACAGAGTATAGATCATCCCAATAGTGGCTGTCCCTACAAGGCACAGAAGAAACCTGACAGCATCCCTGTAGAGCTTAAAATTCATTGGTTTGGGGTAGAGAATAGATCTCACGAGGTCTCCTTTTGCAGTGTTAAAACCTACAATAGAAAACACACATCCTGCTCTCAGAATAACAACCACTGCTAGTTCTCTTCTAAATATCAGCATTGCCTTTGTTTTTCTCTAGAGAGATTTAAACAATGTTTAAAGCCAAAAGCAATTAAAGTATAATTGTGAAAATGCATTAGTGTTGGAATGGAAATATCTTACCTATCTTGGCCTATTACCCTCTGACCTTCCTTCCCTCTACTTCCAATTTCACTGCATCCCAGATACAGGAAACCACCATACTGTGTTCAGAACACTGGTTTTCCAAACATACTTTCATTTGAAGAAAACAACTTACGAGCACACACACATGCACAGTCCCTTGAATTTAAATTAAATGGCCCTGTAAGGACTAATGAACTCATTTTTCTTCTATTTTTCAGTGTTAAGTTTCAGTTACTAGCCCTACCTAGGAAGAATGTAGAATTGGAAGTTAGAAGACCCGAGTTCTAGATCCAGCTTAGTCAATTACTATCTTATGATTTTTAAAAATCCATTTGAATTGCATGGCCCTAACTCCATTCATGTATGGAGTGGAGACAGCTGACATCTTTCTTCTGCTGGTTTTACATGTGACAAGAGTTTGTAAACTGCTAAACACATAAATAGTAATTATTGTCATCAGTATTATTACTTTTTTGAAAATATGTCATTGTTCAATTGGCATTAAATACGTATTGTTGTTGTTCTGTGCCCTCAAGTTGATTTTAACTCATAGCAACCCTATAAGATAGAGTAAAACCGCCCCATAGGGTTTCCTAGGTTGTAATATTTACTGAAGCAGAACGTCACATTTTTCTGCCATGGAGCTGCTGAGTGGATTTCAACTATAAACCTTTTGGTTAGCAGCTGAGAACTTAACCACTGAGCCACTCGGGATACATGTTATATACATATATGTCATATGTTAGAAAAGTGAGGAAGTACAGAAGTTAAAGTGAAAGCATGGAAAGAAAAAGTAGCCACGACCTCGACAGATCACAGCAGGCTTTATTGAAGAAAAGCCCATGAGCGATGACTCTAGAAGCAACGAGAACAATACCAGTTGCAGAGTAGAGCTGTGCCTGGGGGAAGTGTTGCCCCCCGTTATAAGGACCTCTGGTGCGCACAGGGTTTTACAAAAGTTGCAGTTTCCAGGAAGTGGGGCTGTTTTTCACAAGGTGTGGGTGGAGGGGTCTGCAGGTGGAACTTATCCTTGAGGTTTCACAAGGGGTCTTCAGGTGGAATTTATCTTTGAGGTTTCACAAGATGGGGGAGAGTGTGTGGTCTGCAAATGGAATTTATCTCTAAGTTTTCTCAAGGCAGGGGAGCATGTGAGGTCTGCAGGTGGAATTTATCTTTGAGGTTTCAGGGTGTCTTAGCCAAGTTTAGAGTAGCCAGTTCGGTCCTTCATTCCAGACTCTAAAGGTATATAAGAGGGAGGAGGGTCAGCACCGTTGTATCTGACTGCTTCCTGCTGGTCAGGAGCAGAGGTTGTTCTGCTGTCCCTTTGTTGAGTCTGGAGAAGGAACATAGTTTTCACATGATCTTGGGTGGTTGCACGGGTGATTGCTGCCACCTGTTCAGTTAAGAAGTGTTGCATCGGGCTGATAAGACAAGGGAGAAAGGAAAAAATTAGGAGTAGGCTAATGAAGAGAGTTATAAGAGGTATGAATCAGGTTGGGAAATTTCCTAGGAACCAGGAGGGAGATACTGTTGCTTGGACTTGGAGTTTGTTGGCTAAATCTCAGAGGCTCTGTGCACCATCTCAAATTAGGTGGGATTGGTCAGTACAGAAGCAGCATTGCTTTTGTAGAAAAGCACATATTCTCCTGTGGGCAGTGGTGAGAAGGCCCAAGCCTCGAATGAGCTGGACTGCTTTTTTCTGCCTTATTGGGGAATTGTGAACACTGAGATAGGGATCGGGGTGTTTGGAGTTAAGAGATTAATTCGGTGGGTTAGGTATGCTAAAGGGCAGTTTCTTGTCCAGTTAGTAGGGAGACACAGACAGACATTTGTTCCACATACCCAAAAGAGTTCGGAGGCAAAGTCAAGGCAGGGAGAGAGGTCAAACCGTGTGACTTGAAAGATTTTACCTGCATCAGGTCATTTTGTGTTCTCTCGCTTATGCCAAAAGGTAATTGGATGTCCTAGGCTTATGGCAGTCAGGGGTTGAAATGACACAAGGGTACTGCTATTGAGGGAGGGGGGTCTCTTGAATTGGCCTGAGGGTATTGAGATCTATAAAAAGTCAAGCATCCCCCTTTCCTGTTAGGGGGAGGAGACGGTATGTGTCCTTTGTGTCAACTAGGGTTGGGGGAGATGCCCACTTATTTCCCATTCCTGGAATGTCAGGACAAGAGTTTGACATTCTTGACAATAGGGCCTTGACAATAGAGGCTACCTGAGGAGGTTCCAGTGGTGGAGATCGTGAGTGGTGTTGTCATCCTAAGGTAAGATGTATCCTCAGCCTGGAGTGGAAAGTTAAGGTGACCCAGTGGGCCTGGGACAGGGAGTGTAAAATTGCAGGCTATTTGTGATAGGGACCCAACTTCAGAAGATCCCGGGAAGGGCTGATGGGAGATACAAAGAGAGGCTTGGTATGCTAGGGTGACATGAGCCTGGAGAGGCCCATGGATGAGGCGTTGGTGAGGTTGGAGAGTGTCTAAGACCGTTTTTGAAGTTATTGATATTGGCCCTCTTGGTAGGTCTTCTCCTCCATTGCAGCTGCCACCACGTAATGCTTCAAATTCTGGGTGCAGGTCTAAATGGTGGTGCAATCTGGCAGGTGTGGTGGGCCATGCTTGCAGAGACACTGGAAAAGCTTGTTTAGCAACTTGTGAGAGATGGAGGCAGACCCAGCACGCTGGTGCCAACGAAGAATTGGATTGTTTGAGGAGGGAAGTGGTGAGATTAATTGTTTGATTGAGATACTCAGGTAATATGAGGGTTAGGGTCAGGGGGAGAAAGGGTACCAGGTGGCAGAGACACATTGGCTAAGGTTAGGAGGAGGACAAAGGAAAAGTTTGACTACAACTGGGGTATGATGAAGGGCTATTCCGGGATGGTCAGTATTCCAAACAGCTGGATTTGCATTTTAGAGGGAAGGGTTCAGGGACAGGAGGGTAGGGGACGATTTGGTATGGAGAGGTTTGGGGAGGGATAGATCAGTCCGGGTGTGAAGAACATGGTTATGGTACTTAAAGGAGGAAGGTAAGTGGAGGTTCCTAGCTTATGAAGAATGTTTCATCTCACTAAGAGAACTGGGCATTGGGGAACTATAATAAAAGAGTGAGTAAAGATTATATTTCCAAATGAGCATAAGAGGAGTTGGGTTTTTCAGGGGTAGGGAATAGATCCTGACACTCATGATAAGTTGCAGGCTCTAATAGATTGTCCAGACCAGCATATTAGGAGTGAGAGAGATGCCTCAGTGTCGAGCACAAAAGAAATAGTTTGGCCAGCCACTGTCCCCATGATCCTGGGCTCCTCAGCATCACCACACTTGGTGACAAGGGCAGCAAAGCCTAGGCCCTCTCATTCTAATAACTGAGGGTATGGGTTTTCAGGGTTTGAGGATAGTTGTACGTAGGGTCGAGGTGGTTGCCTCTTGGGGCAGTCCATTGCCAAATGTCCCTATTGTCCACAGGTGGGGCATGGTTTGTTTGGCGGTCGAGGACTGGGGCATGCTTTGGTCCAGTGTCCATGACTGCCACACCTGAAACAGGCCCCTGGAGGCTGTGTTAATTCTGAGGTTCTTCCCTGGGTCTGGGAGAGCTGTTCACTAGAGTTGTGGTCGGCTTTGGGACCCTGAAGCACTGCAGCTAGGAGCTGGCACTTTATTTTAAGGTGATTCTCTTTTTCCCTTTTGACCTCCTCTTCTCTATTATTAAATATTTTAAAGAGGAGGTGTAAAAGGTCCTTTTGGGATGTTTGAGGACCTTGCTCAAGTTCCTGAAATTTCCTCCTGATATCAGGGGCTGATTGGCTGATGAATTGGACATGTAGGAAGAGAGGGCCCTCGGGGGTAGTGAGATCAAGATTGGTATATTTGGTAATGGCTTCCATCAGATGGGCCATGAAAAGAGAGGGGTTTCTGAGGGGTTTCGTCAGGTTTCTGAATAACTTCTCTAATTTTTTCACAGTTAACCTGGGTGTGGGTAATTTTTAACATTCCTTCTACTAGATAGGTGATCATGTGATCTTGGCAGATAATGCCATGGTCTCCTGGTTGATATGACCAGGCTGGCTCACTAGTTGGGAGGGCTTGATCAGCTACTGGGTTATTATCTCTATTTTGGCCATGGAGCCGGTCAGCAAGGTCACTTGCTGTCTGCCAGATACAAGATCATTTGTCCAGGGTTAAGGTGGCAGTGAGGATATAGTAAATATCTGACCAGATAAGGTGATAAGCTTGTGTAAGGTGGAGGAATTCCTTACAAAATTTGACTGGGTTCTCTAAGAAAGACTTCAGCTTTCCCTCTGTTTGGGACATATCTGCCATTGAGAAGGGAACATGGACCTGGACTGGTCCCTCAACTCCCACTACTTCCCTTAAAGGAAATATGGTTTGGGGTTGGAGTGCTGTTTTTGATCAGGTAGCTGGGGGTGAAGGAAGAGAAGGGGGTTAGGGTCTGGGGGAGGAGCTGGAATGGGGGTGGGATAATAGAGTCTGAGGCAGGAGGGGTTGGGGAGAGCAGTCTGCTAGAATTGTGGGGTTGATAAGGTGAGGGGTCATCTTCTGAGTCAAAATCAGTGGAAGTTGGGGCTGAAGGGGGAATGGACAGGACATCTCATGGGGTAGGTTTCTTAGAAGTTTTGGGGAACGGCGTATCACCAGGTAAAAGTTGGAGGGGGGAGCATTATTTGCAAACCGAAGGTGGAGAGCGGAGATAAAAGAAGGCTTGGACATAGGGAACCTCAGACCATTTGTCATTTCGGTGAAGGAAGTTATCAAGATCTTGTAAGATGTTTGGGTCAAATATTCCAAATTCAGGCCAATGACTACCATTATATAATTGATATTGAGGCCAAATGCAGGTGGATAGTCAGAGGAGAATTTTAGATTTTATGTCCGGGGCCAGATATAAGGTTTTGAGGTTTTGGAGAAGGCACCCGAGGGGTGAGGTGGGTGGAGATGCAGTCGGACAAGCTCCCATGCCTGGGAAACTGGGAGAAAGAGAGGATGGGAAAGGAAAAAGAGTTGGAGAAGGCTAAAAAGATGGAGCTCAGGCTTGTCAGAAAGCGTCCTCAGACTCACCGTGCTGGGTCAGGCCCTCTCAGGGAAGGGGGACGTCTCCCAAACCTTAGCTGAAGAGGGAGACTCCTGGAGTCCAGATGGTGATAAAACACTGGAGAGTTACTGCAGGTTATTTCTGCAGGGGACCAGAAATCGAATAGGGAACAGAGGACAAGAGGAGGTGACAAAGGGGACTTACTTGGCCCTGAGAAAGACTGATAAATGGCCAGTGCGGTTTGAGTGGCAAGAAATGGCAAATGTCCCCAGATCTGGAGGTCGGTAAAAGTTAAAGGAGGGTTTTAGATAGTGAGTTCGAGCCCAGGGTACTGACTTCCCCTAGGGAGTTACCAAAAAACAAAAAACTCACTGTAGTGGAGTCGGATCTACTCATAGAGACCCCTCTTGTGGAGTCGGATCTACTCATAGAGACCCCTCTTTGGGTTTCCAAGGCGGTGTCACTACAGAAGTAGATTGCCCAACTTTCCTCCCGAGGAGTGGCTGGTGGGTTTGAACCACCAGCCTTCTGGTTAGCAGTCAAATACCTTAGGCACTATTCACAAGAGCTCTTAGGGAGTTATGGGTGTCCAATAAAGGACTGTTATAACCCTTGCACTGCTCACACAGCAATGACACTGCAAAAGCCGTACTCACAGGGAGAGGGAGGCTTCCGGTTGCTTTCCGGCGGCCATTTAGCCTACTAGTGAGCTCTGCGGGAACCCTCAATTCCCTGGAGATACCCGTAGGCTAGGAAAGGAAGTAAGAAGAGGAAAAGGAGAGACAGGAGTGACAAACTAGGGGCAGTAGGCCCCGCCTCAACCCTGTCTTGGGTTTTGGCACCATTTGTTAGGAAAGTGAGAAAGTACAGAAGTTAAAGTGAAAGCAAGAAAAGAAAAAATAGCCATTACCTCGGCAGATCAGAGCAAGCTTTGAAGAAAAGCCCATGAGGGATGGCTCCAGAAGCAAGATGAACAATGCCAGTTGCAGGGTAGACCCGTGTGTGGGAGAAGTGTTGCCCCCTTTTACAGGGACCTCTGGTGCACATGGGGTTTTGCAAGAGTTGCAATTTCCAGGAAGTGAGGTTGTTTTTGACAAGGCGGGGGTGGGGGGAGCGGTGAGGGGAGGTTCTGCAGGTGGAACTTATCCTTGAGGTTTCACAAGGGGTCTGCAGGTGGAGTTTAGCTTTGAGGTTTCAGGATGTCTTAGCAAAGTTTAGAGCAGCCAGTTTGGTCCTTCAACATATATACATATAAATGTACATATTTATATATATACTTACATACTATATCTATATAGAGATATGGAAATGTCTTTGGTCTGTTAATTAAAGAAAAAACTACTTTCAAAATAACAACACAAAGGCAAACATGCTAACCAGTCTGTAGTACCACTGCTCTCGCAGTCCCAGTGCAAGCTCCCTTGGCCTGGATAACCTCTGTTCCACAGAAGAGGACATGCCGTTTGTAATCTGCTTCACTCTGTTTTTTCCAGGGCACTGAGCTATCCGTCTTGGGTAATGGAGTTTTGGTGACTGGAATACTTTCTCCTGCAGAAAACAAGTACCTCATTTTTCTTAGGTGGGATGCTTTCACTCATTTAAATCATTCATTCATTCACACATCATATGACAAACATTTGTTGTCAGCCTACTAGGTAAAAGGGACAGCCTAGGTATTAAGAATATAAAGTTAAACATACTACTTGCTTTAAAGAATCTTATAATTTAAAGTAGGAGATAGATAAGTTATATATATCCGTATTATAATTATATATTGTTGTTATGTGCCGTCGAGTCGGACCCACCTCATAGCGACCCCTCCTTGGATTTCCAAGGCATTATCACTATGGAAGTAGATTGCCCAAACTTCCTTCTGAGAATAAGTATATAATTATTACAAAATAAAGCAGAGATGTCAAAAGAGGCTGAAGATGACTGAGAATAGCAAGCTACTCAGTTTATAATGTGAGGTGTGGGGAATAAAGGACTCATGAGAGCTGTGTAGGAACCAAAGCATAGAAGGCATTGTGTGCACATATTTAGGCATTTAAACATTTTTCTATAAGCACTGATGACAGAGGAGTACAGGAGATACTTAAACTGTCTTACTCGGGAGAATAATATCATATTTATGTAAAGTGATCTCTGTTTACAATACAGGAAATGATTGAAGTTTGGTGATGTGGGAAGCTGGACACCAAATTGAAAAGCTATCACAATAGTCCCAGCTGGACAGGGGATACTGTCTGAGCTCCAGTAGCTGGTACTGCAAGTAGAAAGGAAGTGCTGGGTTCAAGAAATAATGAAGTAAAGCTTTGGAATTTGGAGAGATTTTGATACTGGCAAAATAGAGAAATTTAAAATGACTTAATAGTTTCCTGACTTGAAAGAATGAGCTGAGGGTAGTCCTGTTCATCAACATAGAGATTATAGAAGGAGAAAAAGGATTACTTTTTGGCCACAGTGAATTGGAGGTCTGGTGGCATAGTGCCTGAGGCATTTGACTGCTAACCAGAAGACTGGCGGTTCAAACCCACCAACCACTCCTCGGAAGGAAGGCTGGACAATCTACTTCCTTAGCGATACTGCCTCGGAAACTCAGGGAGGGGTCGCTATGATTTGGATCTGACTTGACGGCAGTAAGTTTGGTTTTGGGTTGTGGGTTCTGAGTTGGAGGTAACAAGTAGAATGACTACAGTGAGTTGTGTTGTAAGCAAATAAATATTTATTTGGGTCTGGAGCTCAGGGGAGAGGCTTTGACTAGATACTTTTATTCAGAATTCATCAGATAATAGATGAGATCTAAAATCATAGGAAGAAAAAGATTACTTCAGGACCAAGTGAATGGTGTGGAGAGGAAAGGAGAAAGACGCATCTCTGGGCAACCCCAACAATTAGAAGATGGAGGAAAAAGAGCAGCAGAAGAAAATTAACAGGTGCAGTCAGTGCTAGAACTTAGACAGAGAGTGAGAGTGAGATTTTTTTGGAAAGTTAGGGTGGCAAAAGTCTGAGAAGGAGTAAGTGGTCCAAATAGTCAAACACAGAAGATGAGAAATTTAAAGAACCTGTTGACTTTGACAATTGAATCTGTCAACTTTTGCCAGTGCAGTGGGAGAGGCAGCTCCGGTGGTGTAGTGCCTAAGGCATTTGACTACTAACCAGAAGGCTGGCAGTCCAAACCCACCAGCCACTCTTCGGAAGGAAGACTAGGCAATCTACTTCCATAGAGATAGGGTCTCAGAAACCTAAGGAGGGGTCGCTATGAGCAGAATCAACTCGACAGCAGTGAGTTTAGTTTTTTGGTTTGGAAGTGCTAATAAAAGGTGATGACGGAATTGGTGAAAATACCTATGTTCCAGGGGAAAGCTTCCCATTGGCCGTGGTAGAGTGGACAGAATGAAGTCAGAGATATCCTAGCATACTAGGCCACTTTCTCTAGGAAAATATTACTGGCAATTCAAAAAATCCTATCATTATTAGTACTCAGGGACACCAGACTCAATTGGCATGACAAAATACATAAAATACATAAAAGCCTTATTCCTCATCCTACATTGGTGAGTAGCGACTGGGGTATCAAAAGCTTTCAAGCGGCCATCTAAGACACACCTAATGGTCTCCTATCATTGGAAGCAAAGAAGAGTGCAAAAAAACAAGGGCATTTGAAAGCAATCAGCCCTAGGACACAATGACACTCAAAACCAGAAGAGCTAGATGGTGCCCAGCTACCAATGCCAACCACTCAGGAAAGGATCAAATCTGGAAATCCTGGAAGGAGTGGAAGGGAAAAACATGGAACAAAATCCAAAAACTCAATGACCAGAATTACTGGTCAGATGGAGTCTCGTGAGACCCCCAATACTATAGTCCTGGGGTACATTCTAGGCCTGGAATAAAGCTCACTGCCAGGGGCTGGCTGTAAGCCCAAGAGTAAACAAGATGTACACGCAGACCACTCAACTCAGGGTGACGCACCCACATACTCTATGGAAACATCCCTTGTACCACTGGGCACCAGAAGGACAACATTCACACAGAAGAAATGCAGGAAAAACAGGAGTGCATAACTGAAGGGCATGGGGGGAGAGTTACTGTGCAGGGAGGGGAGGAGACTGACTTAGGGTTGGACATGGCAAATGGGGAGTGAAACTAAATGTACACGTAATGTTGAATGTAAAACAAACTCTTAAATAATTTTTTAAAAAAGTATGTTTGTACCAAAAAAAAAAAAAAAAACTATTATTAAGAGATTGTTATGAATCTATGATTCCGGAGGGAAAGGAACCTGATCAACCATGCTTTTTTTTTTTTTTTTTCAAGTTCACATAGGAGAGAGATGCATATTATTGTCTCCATTTTACACCTTTCTGGTCTGTCCAGGAGAAATGAATTGGAGTTGGAATTTAATGGAAACCATGGTACATCAGTGTGTGCGCTCACCATCCCAGTTCATTACTGAAAAAGACTTTCTGATTCTTCTTTATGTTACAAATATGTTTGCATAATATCTCATCATTGTGGGTAGGTATGTGAAAAGTCAAAAATTCATGGTGACCTTGAACAAGTTACTTCCCCTCTCTGGGACTCCGTTTCCATACCTGTGAGATGATATGACCTCTAAGGTCCCTCCCAGCTACCACATACTACTCAAAAAATGAAATACAGCTAGTCCAAAATACTCAGTATTTTGCAGATAGCAGACTTTCCAAATGCTGAACATTTCAACATTCTCAAGTAGCTTTTCAACATTTTCAAATCAAGCTAGAAGGATCCTGTGGTTTTCAGGATGTTCTTACTGGCTTCCACACCCTCTAAATTTATCTGAAGACATATTTTATATAAAAATACTAAGCATAAAAATCACAGACAATTCTGAAAAAGCTGATGATCTCTACAATCATTTAAATTAAAATGAGCAGATTGTAATAACCCTGTGTTTAAGAGGGAAATGCCAAACATGCCAAAAGTTATAATTATATCAAACTTAGCACAAATAAACCATCTTTGCTTTAATTTCTCAGATGAATCCATTGCAAGACTATTAACTAAGTTTTGTGGGAGTAGAAAGGTCCTGTTTCTGACCACCCAGCCTGCCAAAACCCAGTCCTATACACCCTCTGCTAGCACCCACAGGGTGTCATTTTGTCATTCCCCAAACACTGCAGTGCATGCTTGTCATTCCCAAGGAGGAGCTGAACTGCCTGGGAGTGTGGCACCTGAGAGAATGGGCACAGGCTTTAATCGTAGAGTTAGAACCATACCTGTCAGCATGCCTTCATCGACCACACAGCTACCATCAATCAGAACAGCATCACATGGCATTTGTACTTTGTTCCCTGTCAAAATTAATAAATCTCCAGGTACCAGGAAATGTGATTCCAGATCTTGGACTCCGGCTGAAAGTGTGAGCAGACAGAATTTAAGTCAGGTTTTTCCACCACAAAAACACAAACTAACATCTGTCTAAGTTGGAAATCAATGAAAAAACAACTAAGTCATTTAAAAAAAAAACAAACAGGCATTCCTCTACATTGATTCAAAAGTCATAAGAAGTGAGAAAGAGAATGCTAAACTAAATGACAAAAAAAATAGAAACCATTTGTGTAGCAAAGAAAAAAAATGACAAATTCAGAATACATATTTAAAATTTAAATTCCAGACAGAAGAATAATATTCCTAATATATAAGTAGTTCCTTAAAAAAAGAGATGGATAGCCAATAGATGTATAGCAAAATTGCTAGAGATAGTATCAGATAGTTCACGCCCCCCCAAAAAATGCAAATGGCTTGTTAATCATTTGAAAATATGCTTATTCTTACTCATAATAAGAGAAATGTAAATTCTCCCCTTCTTTTCTTCCTACCTTTCTTCCTTCTTTCCATCCTTCCTTCCTCATTTCCTGCCCACCTGATTGCCACCCACATGCCCTCTCCACTTCTTTCTTTCCTTATTCAATCCAAAAGCTACTGAATGGTGTTAAACACAATCGGCATCCACTCAGGGGTGCTGTTTAGGGTGAGGAGTGCAGGGTGTCAAAACCCCTGTAGAGTGACAAGGACTCATGATGGCAGTTGTTGTTGCTGTTGTTATAGTCTGGTATGAATGTTGAGCTCTGAGCAGGGTGAAATGGGTGTCCATGAGAAGCTACACCAGTGGCCTCGTGTGGGGCATCAGAAGCCAAATAGTGCAAGCAAGTGTGTGCATGGAAATTGGGGCATCAGCAGTGATGGAAGGCTGGTTATACACCAGGTGGGATTGATGCAGTAAGTAAATATATTGATGCTAATGGCAGCCAGTTTTCTCACTGAAGAAAGTTACAAATACAGAAAGTGATTAAACTAGGATGAACCCTGTGGTATTGAGTTGGAATTAGAGATATCAGTGTAAACTCATAGATAGATGATATAGATGTAAATGTGTATGTATATATAAAAATATATAATATGTTTGCTTCACAGCTTATCTATGCATATATCTCCTGATGCTGTCCACTGATGCCTGAATAATAATGAGCACATTCAAGGTCCAGATCTTGGCCTCTAAATTCCAGTCCCCAAAAAGAGTCATGGCTTCTTCCAGAAATGACAGATTCCAGGTCTGGATCAGGAAAAGTGTAAGATAAACTGGAACCTCTTGTGTTGCCAAAAAGTAAGGAAATACTCAAAGAATGATGGGAGCATGTCAAAAAATATCAAAGCCAACTTAAAAGGGCTAATGCACAAATCTGAAACCATTTAAGTGTTAAAATAAATAATAATAATAATTAATTGTATCATTGATAAATAAGAATTCATGAACTCATACTGATGAAAACAAGTAAATAAATAAATGAGAGAAAAGAAAGCTTTTCTTTACACTAGAATGCCAACTAATTAATGTAGAAGGAGAGATGGAATTACAAAATCACCATTAGTCAACTATGAGAGTAACAATTAATCTAGCAAAGAAACATCAATAGAGAGTAAAACTAATGGGTGAAAATTTGATGAAGATGATTGATTTGTATAGTCTTAAAGTATCCATCAACAAAATAACCATTAATTACTAAGGAGGAAAGAATAAATTTACAGCAGACACTATCTTAATTAAGTAATCCAATTACTCACTTAACCAGTAATAGGACAAATGCAAATTCTGCATCATATGAGAGGATTCAATGTGAACACAACATCATTTCTGTGATATCTCAGCCAAAAATATATAATCATAATCTAACTATGAGGAAACATAAAACAAATCCAAATTGAGGAACATTATACAAACTAGTCAAGGTTGAGAGAGTCAAGGTCAGGAAGTAAAAGAAATACAAAGATTAAGGAGACATAGCAAGTATAGGCATTGCGTGATCTTGTATTGGCTCTTTTTCTGATAAGAATTTCATTGGAGCAATTGGCAAAACTTGAATGTGGTCCGAGAATTAGTCGGTGATGATGTATCAATATTCCAAACACAAAATCTATTGTAGTTTAGTCAATTACAACTCGTAGCAACCCTGTAGAACAGAGTAGAACTATCCCATAGGGTTTCCAAGGCTCTCATCTTTACAGAAGCAGACTGGCACATCTTTCTACCACTTGGTTGACATGAATGGCCAACTTTCAGTTAGCACCAAGGTTTCTTGTATCAATGTTAACTTCCTGATTCTGATGGTTGCACTATCTTTTGCACAAGAAAATGAAATCAACTAGATGGCAGTGAGGTTTTGTTTTTGGTTTTTTGGGTTTTTTTTTTTTTTTTTGGTGAGAAAAAGCATAAGCATGTACTTGTTGTTGCTGTTATGTGCCGTCGAGTCAGACCTGACTCATAGCGACCCCTTCTTGGGTTTCCGAGACGGTATCACTATGGAAGTAGATTGCCCAAACTTCCTTCCGAGAAGTGGCTGGTGGGTTTGAACCACCAACCTCTGATTAGCAGTCAAGTGTCTTAGGCACTGCGCTACCAGAGCTCCTGCAAATTAATCTATAGTGACAAAAAAAAAAAAAAAAAAAACACTATAGTGACATAAAACAGATTAGCGATTTCCGGGGACCGGGACAGGAAAGGAAGAGAGGGAAGAAAAGAATTACAAGGTGATTTGTAGCAACTTTTGTGGGTGATGGATGGTCACTAGCTTGATTGTGGTGATAGTTTCACAGATTTATAGATATGACAAAACTTATCAAATTATACACTTTAGAGATGGTCAGTTTGCCAAACATCAATTCTACCTCAATAAAGCTATATTTTGTTTGTTTGTTTTAATGGAAAGATCTCAAGTTCTTCATTTTCTTTAAGCAAGCGCTCAGAAAAAGAGTCATATAAAGGTGAGAATAGTAGGAACAATCAAGGATACAAATTCAAATCCTTATCCAACTGCCAGATGATAACACATAGGTACAAAATAATGGCACTTACCTTTTCTTCCATATACAGAAACTGTGATGCTATTATGGGACTCAACTAAATGGTGGAGTTTTACAGATTGCTGGAAAATAAGGGAAAATAGAAAAGGGTGTGTCTATTTGCAGATTTAAAAAGTTGCCATGAAGTCAGTCCTTCCTCATGATGACCCATGTGTTAAAGAATAGAACTGTCCCATGAAATTTTCTAGGCTGTAATCTTCACAAAACTAGATTACCAGGTCTTTCTTCCTTGGAGCAGCTGGTTGAGTTCAAACTGCCAATGTTTTTGTTAGCAACAGAGAACTTAACTGTTGTACCACTAAGGATCCTTATGTATTCCTTAGTAGAAAGGAATTTCCCAGCATGCTCTTTCCACTCAAATGAATTTTTGATAACTACACATTTGTGTTTAGTTCTTTGAGTAGTAAATAACATCAATATGTCTGTCATCCAAGATGCTTGTTTACAACTAAATAGCTTCAAGGAATGAGCATTATTTCAACTTTGGGATCCCTCATATCAAAGTCCTTAGCCTTTATAATTTTATAAAGTGTTTGTTAGTTCCTAGTGTATCCTTGAAGTCTTTGTTGTTCTAATATATGGGACATTGGGAATGAATCAGTATGAAGAGAAAAATACAATAAAATTATATTTGATTTTACATTACTAAGAAAGTATTGTGTGAGAGACCTTCTACCTACTTCTGGGTATTAAAAGTCTCAATAATTTAATGTGTCTACTTTTTATTCTGATTTTAGTATATTTCCTAAATCTCCTATCTTTAAATCACTTATAAATCTGATCAATAGGTTCTAAGAATGATTAATGTAATAAAATAAGGTCAAAGATAGAGTGTTATTTTCTTATTCATTCATGTACTCACTCATCAACCTTGGATTGAGCAACTTTTACATGCCAGAAACTATGCTAAGAGATAGAGATAGAATGGTCAGCAAAAGAGATATGATTCTTGCCATCGAGGAGTTTGTAAGCCACTGAAAAAACATTGTACTCAAGCAATCACAGATATAAATGTATAATTACCAGTAATTAGGAGTAATAAGGTAGAGGGTAGACCATGGAGATGAAGAGAAAGGACATTCCAGGGGGGGCATGTCCAGATACACTGAAGCTGGAAACAGTATGCTTCAGGAAATAGAAAGTTAGTTTGGCTGTGGTTTGTTTCTTTGATCAATGTGGCTGGAGGGAGGGAAGCAAGAGCAAGGGTAAATGAAATAAGGGAGAAGTAGGCAAGAGAAGCATTTACAGGGACAAGCAGAGTAGTGGTTCTCAAAGAATGTCCTGAGGATTCCTAGGGGTTCCTGAGAAACTTTCTGTCTGAGAAGTTAAAACTCTTTTCATAACACTACTAAGAAGCCAACTGCTTTTATCAGCCTCATTTCTTCACAGTTGTACAGTGAAGTTTTTAGAAATTAAATAACATATGATAATGCAATAGATTGAATGCCAAAGCAGTTGTCAGAAGTCAGCAGTCTTCTATTAAGTCAGACAACAAACATTTTCAAAAATTTTAGATAATGCCATTCTCACTAAATTATTTTCATTTCAGAAAATATGATTATTTTCATTATAAATACATTTATGTTGACATGTCATGTGGTTTTATTGCTTTTTTAATGAATTAATAAATGTCTTATAATTTTATGTTTTAATTTGTCATATGGTAAATATTGATAGATATGACCTACAAGAGCAAAAGCTCTTTGAGGTCCTCAATGATTTTTAAGAGTATAATGGGATTTGAGAGAGCTCTGGTAGGATAGTGCCTAAGGCACTTGACTGCTAACTAGAATGCTGGTGGTTCAAACCCACCAGCCACTCCTCAGAAGGAAGATGGGGCAATCTCCATCCGTAGTGATACTGCCTCCGAAACCCAAGGAGAGGTCACTATGAGTCGGGTCTGACTCGACGGCACATAACAACAATAACAATGGGATTTAGAGACTGAAAATTTGAAAACCTCTGAGGTAGAGGTTAAAAGTCATAGGAGATTTAGAGGTTTATTGTAAGAGTGATGGAAATACTTTGACACATTTTGGTGGTAAGAGCATGGGAATCATCATAGTAAGGTTGGCATTTTAAAACCATGGCTTAACCTGCCATGTGGAGAATGTATTAGAGGAAGGCAAGAGTGGGTGCATGGAGACCAGATGGGAGGCAATTGCCAGGCAAGAGATGATGGTAACTTGGACCAAAATACTGGTAAGGATGGAAAAAGTGAATGATGTAAGAGATATTTAGGAGAGAAAATCCATAGGATTTTAAAAGAAAGTTTCTAGGATGAAGACCGATTTCTGGCTTGTGCAAAAGAATAGACAATGGTGTCTGTTACCAAGTCAGGAAAGCCTGAAAGGGAAGGTTTGGGAAGAAGAGTACTTGAGTTCTGTGTTAAATGTATTAAGTTTAAGGTACCTTTTAAATATTAAGATTGAAATATCAAATAGCTTCTTCAATCTGTAAGTCTGTAACTCAAAAAAGATATTTGGACTTGCTATATATATGTACATGTATATTTTTTATATATGTATGTGTATGTGTACATTTATATGTGTGTTTGGAAGTAATTACCATATGTATATATGTCTTCAGAAATAATTAGCATATACAGCAGTGAAAATAATGAAGATGCTCTCTGTACATTCATAAAAGATTCTCAAGACACATTATTAAGTTTTTAAAAAGCTAGGTAGAAATAATGTAATTATGCTACCTTTTGTATAAGAAAGAAAGAAAAATAAAAACTATATATTTGTATTTGCTTATTTTGCCTAAAAATGACAGGGCAGGGTAGGAGAGGGATTGTTTGACAGTCGGAGATTAAAAGTTGAACAAATTCTTGTCCCATAGCTTCCATCTTCTTTGCAAAGTAAGTGGTGAGATTATCTGCTGAGTTAGAGACAAAGGTGGATATGGGAAGATGAGAATCTCAGAACTTGAAGAGGAAGGACATTTGAAGCCATAATCTCAGTAAACGGAAGAACACTTTGTTCAGAGAAGTAAAAAGACTTGCTCAGATGAGGTTGGCATGGATTTAGAATACAATCAACTATTTTGGTCTGCGTTTTATTTATTGATTTATTTTTTCCCAACAGCACCCAGCTCTCCTGATATAGGTATATAGAAAGCCAAGAGTTGGATTGGGTTTGTCAGATGAGTTCCAATCAAATATAAAGGCAAAAGGAGTTACTATTCACAGAAATTCTCCCACCTTTCTCCCTTCTTCCACAATCTTTAAGGCACATCAGTATTTTCTGCATATGTTTTATCACTTATTTATCATTTATAAATATCTGCATGTTTTTCTGGCCAATCACCCTCAGGTAACTTAAAGACAAGGAATAAATAATGTTGAAGGTTAGGACGTGGGATGTGGAAGAAGGGCAACAGCTAACACTTCTGGAGCATCAGTTACATCTGAGCATTTTGTTTAGAACTTACAAACTTGGTCTCATTTAATATGGAATGGGTAATGGCTATTTCCTGATTCCTTTTCTATCCCAAACTCAATAAATTCACTACTACTGTCTTTCTGAGGAGCCCTGGTGGTGCAACCATGAAGCACGGGGCTGCTACCCAAATTTTTATGGTTTGAACACACTAGGTGCTCCATAGTGGAAAATCTCTGGTACCTGCTCACATAAATATTACAACTTTGGAAACCCAATGAGGCAGTTCTCCTCTGTCCTATAGGGTCACTATGAGTCAGAGTGCACTTAACAGCACATAAGAACAACAACAAACAATCTCTTTCTGAAAGCATAGGGCTGATGGAAAAACTTACCTTTCTCAGATCATATATAGTCAATGCTATGGAAATGATGGACATGAGTATAATGGCAAAAGCATATTCCTTATAGTCTTCACTAAACCACAAACAGACACTGAAGAGTTGAAATATGTAAAATGGATTTAGAACCTGTTGGCAGACATAAAAACAGGAAGACAAGGAAAATATTTAGGCTTCACATTTAGTTATTCATTGACTTCTTTGTTTTTATAATCATGTCCATGACATTAATCATCCCACACAATAATCTTATTACTGCATTTATTCAACGAGTCCCATATTCCAGACACTGCATAAGCAACTCTACCTGCATTTGTTCACTTAATTACCATAATTGTCTAAATAACCAGAAATTACTACTTATCTCCATTCTAAAGATGAAGAAACCAAGCTTTAGATCTTGAGTAACTTGCCCAAGGTCACACAGCTGAGACTCTCACAGAACCAAGACTATAACCCAAGCAATCCAACCCAAGAGCACTTGCTTTGAACCACTGCTGAGCTTCATAGTTTACAAAGAAGTGTCTCATGTATCATTATATTGACCTCTATAACAGTTCCATAAGGAATATATATTAATAACATCTTCATTTCATATTTACTGGCCTTTAGAAGGTGAAGGTAATGTTTCTAATAGTAAAATGCTTTCTAGTCAATGGTTCTTTCCTATGACGTAATAGGAGCTCTGGTGGTGCAGTATGACATAATAGCTGTCATATTTGAAACCATTAAGGTACTGTAGATTAATGGATGACTTGAAGACTATACTTTCTCCTAGGTAGAGAGAGCTAAGCTAAAAGTGTTCTTTTGCAATTGTACACCTAGAACAATGTCAAGAGAATAGATATTAATTCCAATAGTTTTAATCCTGCTGTAGTCAAAAACTTTTTGTGTCCTTACTCAAATTCTCTCCAGTTGTTCTCCACCTGTCTAAAATAACACTGGCAATCCTTGCCTTTGGTTAGAAAAGAAACATGCAGAAAGAAACTTTTCCTATCAGTTTGTTTCACTTTGTTTCATGCCTGAAAGCTTGCTGAAAATATTGAGAAAGAATCTTAAGTTTGGTAAGCTTTTTCTTAAGACAAGGAAGGGTGAGAATGGAAAACAGTGAAAGATCCAGAAGAGAGCTACATGGTTATGGTTTGATAATAACCATTGTAAATGAAAAATGATAAGAGGCTTTCAATTTTGATGATGATAAAGTCCTCCCTCTCCATCCCAGTTAAGGACAATCATATTGAGATTAATGGACCTAATAAGGCTGAACAGATGTTTTCTCCACTAGATTTTTGGATGCTGATGAAATTGTATGTAAGAAAAAGATTGAGCTTTTTTATTAGTATTATTTTAGTTTTGCAAAGTTAAAACAGGATAAGCAGCAAAAGAATGAAACAGAGAGAGAGAAGAAGGGAGGGAGGGAGGGAGGGAGGGAGGTAGAGAAGAAGGAAGGAAGGAAATATTGTTTTCATCCAGTCATTAAATGCTAAGTAGACACATGAGCTTCATGACTTATATTGTATCAGGAAATGTGTGCAAAAGAGGGCCTCCAAGAAAAAAAAAAAAAAAACAGAAAAGAGATGTGAAAATACTCTTGGCATTTTTTTTAAAGTATCCCCAAATTACAGCAAATCATTAACAAGTAGTACTCCTGCTCATTTAACTAGAACCAAACTTCTCTATTTTCCAGCCAAACAGGGCACCAAGAGAAAATACTGGTTACCTCCTTGATGAGTAGTTTCCAAATTGGTGTGATTTCAACATCAATAGTATTAGGCCCACATATTAACCTCCTATGGGAAGAGATCACAGATCACTTGGTCACTAATAATAAAAATGAAATTCGTATTCTTATCTATTTAAAAAAAGAAAAAACAACTAGTTCATGTTCATTTTCTCATGTGTGGGATGAACATAAACCTCTCTTGTTGTGTAACATTCCCATCTTTCTTAAAATAACTTGGAGCCCCAGTTACTAAAATAATAAACATTAGTAGATTGCTTCTGTTATACTAGACTCTCCTCTAAGTCTAAATATTTTCCTGACTGGAATGAAAAGTCTATGGATAACAATGGTCCAATCTCATTATGCATGGGTTATCTCAAGTCTGTCGACAACAGCTGACAACAACAATCCAGATATTTAATATTACTCACTGACTACTTCAGAAGCTCTGGTGGTGTAGTGCCTAAGGCATTTGACTACTAACTAGAAGGCTAGAGGTTCAACTCCACCATCCACTCCTCAGAAGGAAGATTGGGCAATCTACTTCCATAGAGATACCACCTCCGAAACACAGGAGGGGTAACTATGGGTTGGAAATAACTCCATGGCAGTGAGTTTGCTTTCTTTGGTTATGGACTACTTCAGGTAGTTTCAGAGTTGGCACTTTCTCAAGTCTGTCTATCCTCCACTCTGGCTCCATGGATGTTGGATGGAGGAATAATTAAGAGAGAATCATTTTGCTGATGAGGAAATACTGTACCTACTTTGTTATCTGTACTCAGATAGTCTGGGAAACAGAAGTTTTTTTGGTTTTTTTTTTTTTTTTTTAATATATGAGTGAAAAGTCTTAGATACTCAAAAATAGTTCTACGTGTAGAATTGTACAATCCTCTAATTGAAGAGACTCAGAGATATGCTTCTTTGTTTATGCAGAGGGATACCATTTGATGAGTTATTTTGCTGTTGAGAACACTAACCACTCTCTCTTGGCCTTCCATGTAGATACTCAAGTCAAACAGTTCAGCCAAGTGTATTAGAGCAGCGCTTATTAAATTTTAATGCTCATACAGATAGATTAGCATCAGCACCACTTGGGAGCTTGTTATAAATACAGAATCTCAAACCATACCACACCCTTATTTAGTCAGAATATTAACTTTAACAAACTTACTAAAATTTAGTTTATTAAAATTAATATTCTGACTAAATAGGCATGTGGTGTGATCTGAGATTCTGTATTTCTGACAAGCTCCCAAGTGGTGCTGATGCTGCAAGGTTCTATGTCTCTTCAAGGTACTAGAAATGAGGGTGGGGTGGGGGAAATCACAGAAACTTAGGACAAGTCAGGTCTTCATAGATTCCTGCACCAAACCTTTTTAAAATTTGGAAACTAAGGCCCAGAGAAGAAAAGATATCTTCACAGAGTCACACAGTGTAGAATGAGAGATGTTCAATCCAGTGTCCTTCTTCAGTCTTACTCCTCTGTAGCAGCTGTTTGGGAATCATGGAACTACCTATCTTGACTGACATTCTTCTGATGCTCCACAATTATTTTTTTTTAATTCTGTTATTATCATGTAGTACATATTTCCCCATTACAATCTAAACTGGCTCAATGTTACTATTATAAAAACCTTGAGCAGGATTATGAAGACTAGAAAGAGTGCAAAATCGACAATCAGAAGTTGTACAACTCATTTTTACTCAATATTGATAACTTCTCAGCTGTGTGAACTTGTCCAGCTACTAAGCCCCTTTGAGCCTCATCTATAATATTGACATGGTGATTATGCCTGTTCTATGCCCCCCCACAAGGTTGCTCTGAATATGAAGTGAGATAATGTATGTGAAAGGAATTTATTTTAATAGTACTGACCAGAGCATCACAACACGTTCAAGTTTTAACCAGTTAAGATGACCATTTACCAGACTCTATTTGGCTACAGAAAATAGCACTTTTGAGCTGGTATAGACAATGAGGAACCTCCTAATTGTTTGTTGTACCTAATCTCTTGTTCTTCTCTTGTTAGGCCTGATCCAAATTTTACGTGTATCTTGGCAGAAGTGAGCCAGTCCTCCAAGGAGCTAAAGTAATAGTAAAAAGAAAGATATCCTTAGCAACAATATTTTTGAAATAACTATTTACTTCCTTGGTAGCAATTGCTGAAACAACTTACCCAATTTTCTGGAACTGTCCTTCTAAGTTGTCCCAAACGTATCTTATTTTCTGTACCTTTATGCATCTTACCTGCAAGGGAAGAGTACCAAGATTGAGAATCTGAGAATACGCAGCAACATAGTGGTTAAAGAACCATTTGGGGAAGAAGCAAACACAGAGCATAGATGCACTGTAATTTTTAAAAAAAAAAAAAAAATTATGATGATTTGGGTGCAATTTTACAAGGCAGGTTGATTTTGCATTCAGCAGTTCATATACATTTTGTTTCACAACACTGATTGTTGTTGTTGTTGTTTGCCGTCGAGTCGGCCCCAACTCATAGTGACCCCTCCTTGGGTTTCAGAGGCAGTATCACTACGGAAGTAGGATTGCCCAACCTTCCTTCCGAGGAGTGGCTGGTGGGTTTGAACCGCCAGCCTTCTGGTGAGCAGTCAAGTGCCTTAGGCACTATGCTACCAGAGCTCCTCAACACTGATTACAATCCCCATAATGTAACAGCTCTCCTCCCATCTCCTCCCTGTGGTTACTTCTTCCTGTGTCCTCCATACCTACATGTTCTTGCCTACCTAGCTTTCTCCCCAGGCTTGATCTCCCATGGTTGACTCTTATAAGGAGTGAGTCTCCCTGGTGTAGTTGTTCAGCTCCTAGGACTGTCTATTGTTTAGCAGAGAGTTGAGCCATGAGAGTGAGTCCCATTCCAGGCCAGAATGCTGACTCAGAGCCATGGTCTCTGGGGTTTCACCAGTCTCTATCCGACCAGTTATCCTGGTCATTTTTATGTTTATTATTATTATTATTATTATGTTTAATTCTGTTTTACTCTATCCAGGATCTCCAATTTTGATCCCTTTCTGAATGGTTGGCATTGGTAGCTGGGCATCACCTAGTTCTTCTGATCTCAGGATCACTTCAGCTGAGATTGCCATGGCCCATTGTTCCCTTGGACTAATTGTTCCCATACATCTTTGATTTTCTTCATTCTTCTTTGCTCCGGATGAGGAGAGTACAGTAGTTGCATCTCAGATAGCTGCTCGAAAGCTTTAAAGACCCTAGTAGCTACTCACCAAAGTAGGATGTAGAACAATGTTTTTGTACTATGTTTGTCAATTGAGCTTGATATCCCCTGTGACCATGGTCTGGAGCCTACAGGCCCAGCAACTCATTCCCTCCAGGTACTTGCTTGTGGCTTAGAAGTTGTCCTCTGTTAGCTCTATAATGCATATGGAATTTTTATAGCACATACCAATACATATTTGGGAATATGGTTTGCCAAACCTCTGTATGGTCATGGGTATGTTCCTGTTCACCTACCCATACCTTATCTTCTTGCCTTTCTACCTATGTATCCACCTATAGATTAGGGTTCATCATTACTGTTAGTGCAGTATTGTATATGTCATATTCACCTTTGTTGTCCATACCTCTTGTGCATCTCTCTGTCTCCCTTTTCCTTAGTGATATTATGCTGTTCACACACTTTTATATTGCCTTTCCGTTCACCCAAATAAACATCTGTCTCTTAACTTGTCAGTCATTTTCCCTCTTCTCCTCTCCCATCCCTGGCAACCAACAAAGAAACTTTCTTTCCACGTGTAAACGTTTCCTTGACTTTTTACAATAATGGACTCATGCAATATTTGTTCTTCTGTGATTGACTTACTTTACTTAGCAAATGTCCTCCAAATTTATCAACATTGTGAGGTGATTAGCAGATTCATCATTATTCTTTAATGTTTCACAGCATTCCATTGTGCGTATATACCATAGTTGGTTATCTATGCATGTGTTGATAGGCACTTAAGTTTTTCCATCTCTTTGCTATGGTCAATAGTGCTGCAATGAAGATGAGTGTGCATATATCTGTTCATGTCCTGGATCTCACCTTTTTGTATATATTCCAAGTAGTGGGATTGCTGGATAAAATGGTATTTCTATTTCCAACTTTTTAAGGAAGTGCTATTCCCTTTTCCACAGTAGTTGTACCATCTTACAGTCCCACCAGCAATGTATGAGACTTCCAATCTCTCCATAGTCTCACTAACATTTGTTCTTTTCCGTCTTGTGGAACTTTGCTACTATTGCTGGAGTGAGATGATATCTCATTGCTGGTTTGATCTGTATCTCTCCAATGGCTAATGATAACGAACATTTCTTCATGTGTTTGTTGGCTGCCTGTATACCTTCATTGGTATGTGTCTGTTCATGTCCTTTGCCCATTTTTGAAGTGGATTGTTTGTCTTTTTGATGTTGAGGTACTACAGCTTTCTATAAATTTTAGAGTTAATTCTCTTATCAGATATGTTATTGCTAAATATTTTTTTGCAAATCTATAGGTTCTCTTTTTACTCTTTTGGAGAAGTCTTTTGACTTGTATAAGAATTTAATTTTTAGAAGGTCCCAGTCATCTACTTTCTCTTCTGCTGTTCATGCATTTTGGGTTATGTTTGATAGTCTATTGATGCCATAAATTAGGGCCCTTGTGTTTGCCATTATCTTTAATGAACTATCTTTAATGAACTTTATAGTTCTGGGTTTTCCATTTAAGTCTTTGATCCATCTTGAATTATTTCTTGTGTATGGTGTGAGGTATTGATCTTGTTTCATTTTTCTACAAATGCCTATCCAGAAAGCATAGGACTGCTAACCAGAAGGCTGGCAGTTCAAACCCCCTAGCCACTCCTTGGAAGGAAGTTTGGACAATCTGCTTCCATAGAGATACCGCCTTGGAAACCCAAGGAGGGATCACTATGAGTCAGATCGAATTGACGGCAGTGAGTTTGTTTCTCTTTTTTTATCTGAACAAATGACATTCTTTATTAGAACTCATCATTCAATTAATATTTATCACAGGTCTGCTTTAGAGATAAAATCATAAATCAAACCTACTTCCTGCATTTCACTACTTTGCCATCTGTTGTTTATGTTATGTGCCATCGAGTTGGACCCGACTCATAGTAACCCCTCCTTGGGTTTCCGAGGCTGTATCACTATGGAAGTAGATTGCCCCATCTTCCTTCCGAGGAGTGGCTGGTGGGTTTGAACCACCAGCCTTCTGGTTAACAGTCAAGTGCCTTAGGCACTATGCTACCAGAGCTCCCACTTTGCCATCTAGGAAGGAAAACAAAATATTTTCAGAAAAAATAAGTGCTATATATATAGTATGTGGGAGCTCTGGTAGCATAGTGCCTAAGGCACTTGACTGCTAACCAGACGGCTGGTGGTTCAAACCCATTGGCCACTCCTCGGAAGGAAGATGGGGCAATCTACTTCCATAGTGATACTGCTTCGGAAACCCAAGGAGGGGTCGCTGTGGGTCGGGTCCAACTAGACGGCACATAACAACAACAACATATAGTATGTAATCAAATACAAACAAAACAAACAAACTCACTTCTATCAAGTCGATTCTGACTCATAGTGACCCCCTTTGGATTTCCAAGGCTGTAAATCACAGAAGTAGATTGCCCCATCTTCCTTCCAAGGAGCAGCCAACGGATTTGAATTGCTTAACTTCTGGTTAGCAGCCAAATGCCTTATCCACTATACCACCAGAGCTCCTTATAATCAAATATAACATGGTGGTGCAGTGGCTAAGTCCTTAGCTACTAACCAAAAGATCAGCAGTGTGAACGCACCTAGAGGCTCTGTGGGAGAAAAGACTTGACAATCCTATCCTGTGAAAATTACAGGTTAGGAAACCTTATGAAATATTTCTACCTTATTATATAAGGATGCTATGAGTTAGAATCAACTTGACAACACATAGCAACAAAAAATGCTATATAAATACAAAAAGGGCAGATGACAGAGGGCATCATGGAGAAGGTGATATCTGAGCTGCAGCCTTGAATTGGAAGAATTTGCTCAAGTGTTAAAGGAAGAAGGCATTTCAAATAGAACATGCTCAAGTGGTTTGGGGAGTAGTAAGTAAACCTATTTGGCTGCAGAATGAGGAATAAGAGGGGAAAGATTAATTAAGAGGACATTGTGCGCAGTCTTTAATGCTAATATAAGATATTTGGGACTTAATCCCATGGGCAGTGGACAAGTGGAGTAACTTATCAAACAGATATGGAAAAAAAAAATTAGGCTGGCAGTGGGTACTAGAGGAGAGAAGAGAAGTTATTCTAAGAAAACACATTCCAGGCAATGAGGGCCTGGGAATGTCAGCAATGGGATGGAAAGGAAGGGCTATGCTTATGACAATTGTGCCTTCCTGTTTCTGGTTTCTTTACTCAGCTATATATACAAATCTGAATTTCCACTAACTAGTGACCTAATGAATCACAAAGAGAAAGTTGAGACTGTTATATTACTAAGGAGCAATGGTTATTATGGCCTATTGGAATCATTTGGGAAGCTTTAAAAAAACACAGATGTCTTGGTCCCACCCACAGGAGATTCTGATTCAATTTGTCTTTGGTGCCTGGATATCAGTATTTTATACATTTCCCCAGATAATTTTAATGTGCAGACAAAGTTGAGGAATAGTGTTCAAAATATTTTTATAGCTACTCTGATACTTGTGTCATTAAGAAATTCAATTAAATATCTCTGCACCTCAGTTTTCCATGCATAAATTGAGGCAATTGAGCTATGTTATTTTCATGTTCCACTTCAGCACCTCTAAATATGTTCTTGGTGTATGGATATTATAGTCAGCATAACCATTTGATAAATTCTAAAACTTGGAGAATATATAACTGGTACATAGTAAGTACTATAATGAAATGTGCAAAGACCTGGAGTCTGAAAACCAAAAGGGAAGAACACACTCGGCATTTCTCAAACTGAAAGAACTGAAGAAAAAATTTAAGCCTCCAGTTGCAATATTGAGAGATTCTATGGGCAAAATATTGAATGATGCAGG